ACGTCCTCCCGTCAGATCGCCTGCAGCAAAGACCGTCGCCGTCAGCAGCGGTCGGTGCCTTCCTCTCCCACTGGGGCGCAACTTCACCGACGCAGTCGCTCGCCTCCTCCCCAACCAACACAACGAGGGAGCAGCGGCAAAAGATGAGACACGCACGGCAGGCGCGCTGTCGCAGAGCCCCACTGCTGCCGCCATGACCAAACAAGGTCGGCTGCAGGGCGCAAAAAGAAGAATAAACACCCCACCAAACGCCTCGGCACCACGTGGAAGCACCGCAACCGACACACGAGGCGAAGCGCCGTGAAGCAGGCACCAAAACCAAAGCTCCTCCAACAAATTCATCGTGAAGCAAAAGAAAACTTTATGCGAGCGCGAAAAAATTCACACAAACTGAAAAAAAAAAATGACGGTGCAGAGGCAATAAATGGTCGTGGTGAACAGCAGCCGTGGCATCGCGTCCCTCCCTCATCAAACGGCACCGCACCGTGACGACAGCCTGCAATGACGACGATTGAGTAGCACACACAAAGCGGTACAAACCTTTCATCCCGCACTCGCTCAAGTTTACGCTCTCAGTATGTACTGCCAACAACACCGGGAAGGACACGGAAGGGAACTGTTCTGTCCATCCACCTTCTGCCCACAACAGAACCTCCCCATCCTCATCCTCGCTAAGCCCTGGGTGCCGCGAAACGCCGTCAAGCAGAGCCAATTGTATGGAAGTCTCCAATGCGCGGGGCGAGGCTGGCAGCCACCCACGCTCACTCCCGCACATTTCCTCTCCCACAACTTTCCACACACACAAAAGGGCAAAGACATGGGAAGAAAAGCCCGCCGCACAACACACGCAGAGGCAACGCCATCCACGTCGCACCGCAAGAAAAAAAAGCGGCCACAACAAGAGCGAAGGGTCGAGTTCAAATCCACGGCGCCGAGCTTTACTTCTCTCTTTCCCGACGGATTGGAATTACGCCCCACAGCAGGTTGTGGTGGATTGGCGTCTCACACACACAGTGAGGCACGGCGCACACCATCCGCTCTCCTCCGAGTGCACTCAGCAGACCGGCGCCCAGTCGCCCTCGTGCCATCGCAATGGGGAACACAAACAATCGTCGAAGCGGACCATCGATGCCTATAACAAAAAAAAAAAAAAAAGATGGGAGTCCACAAGAACTCCCCAAAATATAGAAAGAAAAAATGATTCGGAAAAAGGCCTATTTCATGTGCCAAGGAGTACCATACAGTCATGTGTTTGTGCATGCATATTGCCTGTAAAAGGAAAAAGAAGTCAAAGAAAAGACTCTACTGTTCCACCAGCTCGCACAACATCCTTCACATTTCGTGCGGCGTCCGGCCTGTTCTTCCAAACATCGTTTCGTGCGTACCGTGGGACGCACAGCCGCGGAGCCGGCACCACGTGTGGGCAGTAAAAAGCAAACAAAACAAAACAAGAGAAAAAGCAATGTGTGCTCCGTCCCTCAGGCCCTCGTCGCACGCCCACACGTCACGGCTCCCTCAGCGCGCCGTTCGTCGCGGCCCCTCCTCATGCGTGCAGCAGGCGAGGCGCACAGGGCCGTCGTCATGAGCGTGTCGGTGGTGTGCGAGTGGAGCAGTTGGGCGGGAAACACACGGCACCCCTCACAGGAAGAGTGCAGAAACAATTAAAAGAGGGAAGAGTGGAAAAGAAAACGTCCATAGTGATTGCCCCCAAAAGCAAAAAGCAAAGAAGGATTGAGAATGGCGAGATTAAAAAATAAATAAAACAAAACATTTTAACGAAAACAAAACAAAAGAATAAAAAAAAACTCACGGTGCTCCGCCCATGCAGCCAGGCAGGACGGCAGCGGTGCGTGTCGTGCAAAAGAGAGCACCAACGGGCCTGCATGGGTGTGCATGCATATATACAATGGGCACATTATTGTGTGTGCCTCGTGGGGTGAGGTGAGGGCGAGAGTCCATGCAAGGGGACACACACACAGAGAGAGAAGGAAGAGTGTGTGTGCGGGCGGTGCATGGCTCTCTCTCACTCACTCTCACGCGGCCACCACCGCAACAGCAGCAGCCGCACACGCAACAACAACAAGAAGAAGACGCAGAAGAGGAGAGATGGTGTGGGAGACCGCGGTGCTGCTGTCACTCTCAACGTCTGCGGTTTCCTTGCCCTCCGTTACACTCTTAGGGTTAGTTGTTGGAGCATTCTTCTCTCCTGTGAAGGTTACGGTGCCGTTTTTGTTTGGGTGGCTTACATCATGAGTGGTCGGTTAGGCCGTTGTAATAGTTTCAGGTTCTGCAGCTGAAGGACTTGGAGTGGGACTCTCACCGTCGCCCAATCCCTCATTTTTTCCATCGGTGTTGTTAAGGGATGCAGTTGGGGATCCTACACGGGCAGTGTTGGCAGCCGCCTCACTGGTTGCCGCGTCGTCAATGGAGGGACTGCTAGCATCCTCCGACGCCAGAGTGTCAATACCACCAGCATCGGGCTTCAGAGCTTGATCAGTTGTGTTTTTGGTTTCACTGTCTTCATTTGGGTTCCGTGTGGCACGTGAATGTTCGGGAGTTTCTTCAGCTGTCAGTTCCTCTTTTGAGTTCACTGTTTTATTCGCTGTCGGCACTGTTGACGGTGATGGCTGTGCTTTTGGTGCCGCTGGAGCGCCTGGTAATTGTGTGTCAATACCATCAATTGCTTTTGGATTTTTATGATTTTGATTTATATTTGGGTCTGCCAGGTCTGTGTCCGTCCCTTTCAAATGAGTGGCAATGGTTTCCTGACTATCCAATAGAACCTCCCCATCGGTAGTCAAAGGTTTGACAGTAGAACCATCATTCTTCTCTTTACACATAGATTTATCGGGTGGTGCTTGATCAAAGCTTCCTCCATCTGACATGTCTCGTTCACTGGGATGAGAATCACCCTCAGACGCAGTTTTCATTGTCTTTGTTTTATCCGTTTTCACTCCGTTTTCCCCAGAGACGCCTGACCCCGTCCTAGAATCGCCAATACCAGACCGAGAAAGGGAAGCTGACTCCTCTTCCGTACATCTACCGTAGGCACTACACCACAGCACGCAGAGGGCACACACCAGCAGCACACGGCCAGTCATCATCATCGCCATCACTCCTGTCACTTGCGTGTAGACTTCAGCACAAACTAGCTCCCCGTCAACGCAGAGCGAAAGCAAAAGGAGAAACACGGCACAGTAAAAAACACCACCAGAAGCAGCACGCATTTCATGATAAATATTGAACCAATGAAAATGCAAAAACGCACAGCGCCATGCAATAATTTAACAACAAGAAAAACACACAAAGCAACAAAAAAGCAACACAAAAGTAAAAAAGCAGCAGTAAATTAAAACAGTAAAAACACAATCTGCACCCAAGTGACACCAGTGCGCATGCACCTATCCTCAACAGTGCATCCACGCAAACAGTCGTGTGCGTCTCATGCATATGAGTGTGTCTGCGATGCGTTCAACGTGGCGGATGTGGGAAGCAAAGAGGAGCACACAGCAGGGCAGCGGAAGCAAACACAGCAAAAACAATCATCGTAATTACTCTTACTTCATACATCGGACCACAGTGGACGTACACATGTCCCTGTGGCTGAGTGCTGGCACGCACAGCCCACGCTCCCTTTCAGCCCACAGCGGTGCACGCCAGCGCGCATACTGCGAGCAGCAGCGGGGCACACACCCACGCAGAGCTGCTGAGGCTGCCGTCAATTTCGCGAAGAAGTGACGGTTCGCAGGTGGTCGTCGTATTCGTAGTTGGCGCCTTCGTCGTCGTCGTGGACGTCGTGGAAGTAGTTGCTTTTATTTCCTTATCGGCTTTTTTCCCATCCTGTCCCTCAATAGCCGTACCTGATACCTGTATCGAACCGGGCTTTTCGTTTAAAACCTGTTCTGCACCGGACGCCGCACTTCCCGACTGTAACGCACCAGCCTCTGTATTTGGTTTCGGTACCTCTACAGTGTTCTCTTGTCTCTTTAGAGGAGTCGAGCCCCCATTTCGTAACCCTTCCTCAACGTTCCCACTATCTGCCAGTTCCGCACCATTGTCCGTCAGCGAATCCTGTCCATTATCGGGATTATCTCGCGCTTTTGACTGAGGGGGCGACATGCCCGAGCCGGCGGAAATTTCTCCAACAGTCTCTGCCGCGCACACGGGCGAGCAGCAGCACAGGGCGAGCATCAACAGGACGCACAGCAGACGGCACGTCATCATCCTCGTGAGTGTGGTCGTTCAGTGGTGTGGAGCTGATCTGCACAGTGAGGGACATGGAGAGCAACAGGGGAGACGAGAGGTGCGGCAGACACACACGGAGGGCACACCACATGACGAGAGGGCAGCAGCCAGGCATGCACCGTACGCCGCACACAACGCACGACACACACTCCATTCCACGGCAGCAGACACACACAACAGCAAAGTAACAATAAAAAAAGGAATGATCCCCGCACACCACGCGGATTGTTGGTCCACGGAAGCGCGGCCAATATTTAGCACAATAACAACTTCTTTACTTTTAGTTGTATGTTGCAATAACGAGTGAGTACCGCAAGAGCCGTCCGCGGTAAAGTGGCAGGCATTCCGTCTCATGTGGGCCGTCGTGTGGCTGGGGAAGTTCCAAACAGTCGCAGTCCTTACTCTCAACGACGGGGCATTCCCGCAGTAGATGAAGCGAAGTCTCCCGTGGTCCGTCGTGGGGTCAGCAGCACGTGGCGTCTGTGACGTCGCGGTGGCGGAAGCGCCTGGTCCATCTCGAGTACCCGCGTTTGTGTTTCCTGCGTGTCTTGCCTGCTGGCATGCTTGGCGACTTCGGCGGCGACCAGCGCGCGAGGCGACCGCTAGTAAGACGGTGGGGCCATTGCGGCAGCCGCATTTGAGGACTTCTCCAAGTATCGGAACGCCAGGCGGAGCGTGTCGGGCATGTGCCGTCATACTGTGGACGGACAAGCGCGCTCTGCGGCATATTGGGCAGGAGGACGTCAATCCGCCGCTCGCTGGCAGGAAAGGAGTTGCGGTGCTCACGTCGGGAAGAGGTTCCGGCGGAGGCAGAGGCGGGCCGGTCTCCTCGGTGAGGGAGGGACGGCGCCACCGACACAGGGAGCTGCTTGTGATTCGCAGGGCGCGCACAGGCGCACAGCATCTTTTAGAATAAAAGATTGGCGCCTGCCACCGCGAAGGCGTCAACAACCGCCCTGGACGACAGCATAAAGCCCTGCGGCTTCTCCTTGTGTTGCGCAGCGACTTTATTTGTTAGAGTGCTTAATTTCATTCTCTTGCAGCTTTTGTGGAAGGAGATGGGATGTTGAGGTCATCAGGACTGGGTTCTTTTGAGTGGCTGCCTTCCGTTGGCTTGCGGCCAGTCGTGGCGCTCTTTTGGGTTTGGCAGCTCGTCTCTTTTGTTTACTTCCCACTGCGGTACGTGGATAACACTGATCCGAGGAACATTTATTTGACCGCGTGTGAGCTGCTGCCGTGCGTGGTGCATGGACTATGTGATTGTGTGGGGAGGTGCATGGAGTGACGAATACTTCTGTTTGGCGTGTCGCGGTGTGTCGCAATGATGTTCGGATGGCATGTGGAGGGTGTTGTTTGTGATTTGTGTGTCTTCTCTGGTGGAGCCGACATGTGTGCGGGGATTGTGGCGTTGCTGGCTGACAGTTCCACGTCACTCTTCAGCATTCCTGGATGTGCTGAGGAATGACGGCTGGCGAACAGCGTGTTGGTGCTGCCGGTGGGAATAAGTGCATCGGGAATGGGCCGTTTTCTCTTTTCCGTGCTGGAGCCGATGTACTGGCACGAGGGCACCAGCTGCAGGCTGCCTGCCAGCACGTGTGTGCAGCGGATCCAAGCACACGCCGACGCTCGTCGCAAGAGCATGTGCGATCACAGTGGCCTTTTGTGGCGTGCTTTTGTGGACGTCAGCCCATCGATGAATGTGTGAAGCAAACGGCTGACTGCACACGAGGAGAATAAGTGCGTGCACTGTGCCGTGTTTCAGCGTCGATGGCAGAGCGACAGGAGGCCCGTGCTGGCAGCTGAGATCTTTGCGTCGCGAGGGATGTCGGCGTTGATTTTGGATCGTCGAGGGTGAAATGATTTTGCTGCTGCCCGTGTGTGTGGCCACTCCGGCGGAGGTCGAACACAAAAGGGAGGGATGCAGGCGCTGCGTGTGTGTGTGTGCAGGTGCCATGCAACAACGTCACAACAAACATGCAGCGACTCGGTGACCCTCACATCGTTGCGGTCCTCACGAGCAGCCGAGGCACGACCCGCATCGATGCACTTAGTGGACGGAGTGAGGCATCTTTTGAGGCGCAGCAGGGAACAGGATGTGTTGACGCAGCCACGACGTGCATGGAGTGTCACGATGGCACAGTGAGCTGTGGCTGGTGGAATATTTGCTTCTCGGAGGCAACAGAGAGAGAGCTGCTCCTGCTGCTGGCGTCGTTGCTTCCTTTTGTGGCCTCCCATGCCGATTATCGTCTGTCCGCTGATCATGTGTGGCATGCCTCCACTGGTGACGTCGTCTGCAGGCATTCCACAGCACCAGTGAAACGCACATCACGTCGCATGCCTTGGCTGTGGATATGGTGTCGTGAGTGCAGCCGGCATTATTTTGCCCGACTCCTTTTCACTGCTTTGCGACGAATAGATGCGTCGCCGCCCGAGTCATTCACTGCAGCTCCGTGCGTTGTACTGCCAGCACACGACTCTCCTGTTGTCTGGCGCCTGGCTGACAGTCAAGCACCACTGTGTTGGGACATGCAAGGATGTGGACTGCCGCTCACGGTGTTGGGCACCGCTGTTTGGATGTGGCGGCCACACGAGCGGATGTATTGTGGCACAATCAAATGCGTGAAATACGCGGAATCATAGCGGCTGCAATAATATCAGCGGTGTGGCACCACGGAGTATGTGAGGGGGTGATGCATGATGAATCACAGTGGGCGGCATGCGAGGGAAGTGCACCGCGACGGAGCGTCATCCCGCCCTCAGCGTGCAGGGGAATGTGCACCCACAAAATATATGGACGAGACACCACCAAACACACATGCCCTTCCATGCAGCAATAAATAGGAGCGAAGGTGCGTTCTGGTGTGTGGGAGTCCACTCAAATATTTTCATTTCCACCGCAATAAAAGGTGGGGAATCAGGTGCCACAGCAACGAATGGAAAAACAAACGTCTATTGCAACACTTTACCAGTGAAAAGCAGGAAGAACACACACCGAATTATTGGCTGCACCAACACAAGAAACATTCACAAGAGGGAAAAAAGAAAAATAATTGTGCACCCTGCAGGAACCCCCAACACACGATGCAGACATGAAGGCTTACCCTCCGAAAAAACAACATATGCGGACATCTGCCAACATTCAAACAGAAACACAAATAAATGGTTGCCTGCATTATTCCATTCGTTGCGCTTATATTTGCGTGTGTTGCTGCTGCTGGTGGTGTTTTTTACTGTGCCGTGTTTCTCCTTTTGCTTTCGCTCTGCGTTGACGGGGAGCTAGTTTGTGCTGAAGTCTACACGCAAGTGACAGGAGTGATGGCGATGATGATGACTGGCCGTGTGCTGCTGGTGTGTGCCCTCTGCGTGCTGTGGTGTAGTGCCTACGGTAGATGTACGGAAGAGGAGTCAGCTTCCCTTTCTCGGTCTGGTATTGGCGATTCTAGGACGGGGTCAGGCGTCTCTGGGGAAAACGGAGTGAAAACGGATAAAACAAAGACAATGAAAACTGCGTCTGAGGGTGATTCTCATCCCAGTGAACGAGACATGTCAGATGGAGGAAGCTTTGATCAAGCACCACCCGATAAATCTATGTGTAAAGAGAAGAATGATGGTTCTACTGTCAAACCTTTGACTACCGATGGGGAGGTTCTATTGGATAGTCAGGAAACCATTGCCACTCATTTGAAAGGGACGGACACAGAACTGGCAGACCCAAATATAAATCAAAATCATAAAAATCCAAAAGCAATTGATGGTATTGACACACAATTACCAGGCGC